CATCCAGCCCTCCACACCACGGGGTCCTGTTCATCCACCCCTCCACGGGCACTCCTCCACCGTCTACTGTTCATCCAGCCCTCCACCACACCACGGGGTCCTCTTCATCCAGAGGCAACGCCACCGCTCATTGTTCATCCACCCCCCCCCGCAACGCTCACTGTTCATCCCATCGATCGGCTTCAGTTAGCAGCAGTAGCGAAGGAATCGCTCGATCGGGTTCAGTTAACAGCCATTGATCGATCGCTCGGGTTCAGTAACACGTAGCCTGCAGTGCAATCGCTCGGGTTCAGTTAGAGCCCAACGCCTCGCTCGGGTTCAGTTAGAGCCAATGCCTCGCACACACGCGCGTACGTGTACGAGAGAAACATGCATCACTCGGCCCTGACCTCCCGTCGTAACCGGGAACTTCCCGAAATTTTCCTTCCCCTTGCTTCTACCATGGTTTTTTTCCATCATGGACGACCCAAAGAATGTCATGCAGCTGCGTCTCCTGCCCGCCCAGGACGAAAAGCCCATTTTTGTCATGATTTTTTGTCGTAGAAGTAGGATCCCACCACATCTATGATGATACCGGGTTTTGTCACAATTATCGTCATAGAAGTGTCATATGTATAACAGAAAAAAAATCGTTCAGCCCAAAATGTCACGGATGTGTCTTTTTATTGTAGTGCAAAGCCCCGCGGATTAGGCTTATCCGCTGGTCCCCGACGCCCTGCCTGCGCCTACAAATGCCCCACGACCCCCTCTATTGATCCCGCCGGCTCACACTTCCCCACGCCGCTCCTATCTGTCGCCATCATCGAGTGCATCTCGCCGGAGCCGAGCTCCTCGCCGGAAGAATTCGTCATCGGTGAGCCCTTTCAATCCCGATCTCTGTGCTCATTCGGACCCCCGTGCTCCTCCGCGTCTTTTTGACCTTTTCCTTGTCGCCTAGGTCGCCCGAAGAAGCCGCCCCGACGACGCGTGCCCTCGCCGGAGCACCGGAGCCGCCTCTTCACTAGCAGAATGAGTTAAGGAAAACAAACCATCAGACAGTGAGACAGTTGTTGTAATGCTACTATTGGGTGCCCCCTCTTCTGGCAATGCAGGGATGACAACTTGCTGCTGTGGAGGCTGAACAGGCTTAGGTTGAGGAAAAGCCCAGTGCTACTCCTGCTCTGCTTGCTCTTCCGAAGCATCCTAGTCCTCATTCTGGGCATGAATATTGTGGTTTGGCAGAGGTTGGAACCCTGGAAAATCATTGGCATGTTGTGGAATGGGGTGTGGGTCAACACCATCAGGTGGAATGGGGTCTTCATCAGCAGGTCCACCACCCATCATTTCCTCCAATAGCACTTCAATAGAGCAAGTCCAGGAGTCTTCCTCAAACATCTCTCCTTCATACCATCTTATGCTCTTAGGGATCTCATCCAACTCTGTTACTCTAGCTTTTACTAGGATTTTCCCCTTGAGCGCATCTTCTTTCTCCCAACTAATGATCCTCCCCCATTTGGAAATAGCAGACGCAATATCTTCAGTGTTGCAATAATCAAACGGAACACCCACAAAGAGCAACCAACAGGTCCTGTTGAAATGAACCCTGCGCCAATTTCTACCCTCATTGTGTTTGGTAAAGGAGATGAAAACATCTCCGAAAGCATGCGGCCCCTGCTGGATGAGCCTATCCCTATCCCTGACATGCCTAAACTGCACATATGCCTCTCCAAACGGGCATGGCTGAATTTCTCTAAATCCAACATGAGCATCTCCTTGAAGAAACTCTTCCAGCACATCACGAACATTGGGAAAAAAATACCTCGTCAGGGTGCGGATGAATATTAGCAATCGCCTAGTCCTCGTGCCTTCTGGGACGATGAATCACAATAGCGCGAGAAACCCCAATTCTTCCCTCAATCAGCTGAACTTGAAAACCATGCGGGGCGAATGACTGAGGATAGATGGGGATATTGGCCATCTCGATCGGCTCTGGTAGGGAGGCGACCAGAGCCCTCTCCGACAGCAATGGAAGCGCAGGCGAGCTTGTCGAGGTGTGGGCGGAGGTGGAGGTGGTAGCAGTGTAGGAGACAGAGGAGGCAGGCGACGGTCTCGGCTGGAAGTTTGGGAAAAAAATCCTTGACCAGCTCCTTAAATGATGTCACCTACTGAATCTGTGCCGCCAGCCCAATACAGTGAAACCAAGACTCAACCTCGCCATTAGCCCAAGCATTTTCTGGTGGGCTCGGGAAAGTACTAATAGGTATAAAAGGCCAAAGCCCAGTCAAGTTCGGAACGGTTCAAAAATGAGCAAAGTGGCCGTTGGCCCGGCATGCATGACAGACCACATGATGACGTGTAATGGTACGTTGCACTTCATTGTGCACCAATTGTGGCCTGACTGGGGCAGAATTATGCTGCATTGAATTGTGGTTAATGCTCTGAGTATTGCCCTCATGATTGAGCCCCGATAACCGCTCGAAAACTGATCTACCGTCTCTGACCACCGCAGAGTAGCTCCGGTGATCACCGGAGTGAGGAACAATAGCCTTGCCAGCCCTACCCACCAAAGTCCATTCTTTATCGAGCTCTTCATAGTAAAGAGATTCTTCCCGGCGCCAATTCGGGCCACCAAAGTTCCACAGGCTAAAAACCATCTCAAAATCCTTTTCAATGATTCTACCCGCATTATATATCTCAAACCCTGCGGACTTTGAGGCTACTGAGAACTTGTAGGATCTACCTCGAAGTAAACGGACATGAAAACCTTGGGCATAGCCCCCGAACATGGCAAGAAGAGAGACACTAACTGTGTGAACATCAAGCTTGAAATATGCACGGCAAAATGAAACCACCATGGTGAACTCCTTTTGATGAAAGCCCGGAGAGAACACCACCGGGTGACCAAACTTGGTTCTCATCTCCACTTGAAACTTCTTCCCACGGTCAAAGTTGAGAGCAAACGGCACCATCTTGAGGGAAGGGTGGCTACCAGGGTCGGAGTGGCCACTGGTAGGAGCTGGGTGGCCGCCGGGACCGGAGTGGCCGCCGGCGCTGGGGGGGAGCGCTGGGGGGGCCTTGGATTCGTAGAAGCTTACTGTGGAACCCCTGGGCGGTATTTGGTTTGAATGGTGGCGAAGTATAGTGGGAGCATGCATGGTAAATCCATGGTGGTGCACCACTAGTGGTCGGCCGCCCAGGCTCAAAGAGATCAATCGTATTCTCATGTCTTGAAGCTTACGTGTGCAACCACAAGCCAACATGGGCTCTGGCTTAGTTGAGTAGTTAGTGTGACCCCTTCCGGGATGGGCTAGCAGATGTAGAATGAGTAGGTGTACCGGCCTATCCGTGGGTTAAGGGGAAATACTTTCGAAAGACTATGTCTCGGTCATCCTGTTCTCAAACGCCAGGCAGTGCGAGAACTTCAAGGGAGGCCATCGAGTCTTGTGGGGAAAAGTGCGTAGACCTCTGCAGAGTGTTAAAACCTAATCGATTAGCCGTGTCCCCGGTTACGGACAACTTGAGCATCTAGTAGTGGAAATGCTGGGAGATCTCATCACTCTTAATTAAACAGTTGGGTTTTAAATGAAACTTTGGGAATGGATTGAGTTGGGTTTGCCAACTCATCCTATGCTATACAGTAGCGGTAGAATAATATCTTTTATTCTAGGGAAAAACTAGCTTTATGCAAAAACTAAACTTAGAGCTTTCCACCAGCCAAATTGCATGTACAAATAGGTTCATTATTCTTATGATGTGACTTGCCAGTACATTCAATGTACTAACTTACAGGGCTGCAACGTCTTATGTTGCAGGAATTTCTACGACGAGTAAGAGTTATGTTGTAGAGTGACGTTCTACACTCAACTTGCCGTTGGTGTTGATGGGACTCCACACCCTTATGTTTGTTTCCGCTGAGACTTAAGAGGTATATATCTATCTATCTTACGTTATTTATACATGTGATTGCACTTTGATATATACATTGATGTACTGTGTGTGCCAGCATACCGATCCAGGGATGGCACGGATACACAAAGGCTTGACCGTTTGAGGTCGGGTCGCTACAGAGATGGTATCAGAGCACATGTTAACTGTAGGATGTGACCCTAGGAACTGGAAAACCCTTAGGAGAGGTATTCTCTAAATCTTTATTAAAAAAGAGATACTTTACCTCTCTTCTTTTCTGAGTGTTATCAAATCTTTCCTTTTATCTTGAATAGTTAGACAATATCCTTTTTCGTTTGACCACACGAAGGATCAACTGATGAGACCCCTCCGAGAAGGCCAAGATATCAACTTCACCATACACTGGAAGAATTGAAGCTACAACAGTCAAAGACTCCAAGAATTTGAAGACACTGAAGAATTCCAAGATTTATATGACCTTTAGAAGACCAAACCCTTGTTGTATACTCACGTTAGATGTGATGATTTGTGAGCTGTCGTATGTTGTGTGTGTTTTCCTGACAGCCACAAATAAAACTTATTTTAAAAACTATATTGTGTCTATTGTGTGTATCTCTCTATCTCTCGTATCTCATCCCAAAACCCTTGGACCCAACAGATGATGAATGAAGATGGACTTGTATTCTCTGAACTGATCACTCAGTTGGAGGCAGATCTATGGATTCAAAACATGGAGAATCACTTCAGGAGCAATTTCGTTGGAAGGAAGTATGAGGTTCAATACGCTCTTCAATACTTTACAAAAAGTGTTGCAACCTGGTGGGAAATGCATCAGGCCATACAAGGATGTAAGGAAGCAAAAACTTGGGAGGAATTCAAGATGACTCTACTCAGGTCTCGTCTTATTCAGAAGCCCTATGGCAATAAAATGAAGAAACCTTGTGCATGCAAGATTTGTGGTGAGATAGGACATACCCGTGAAGAACACAAGGGTGGGTGCCCTCATTGTGAAGGAAATCACCAAGCTGAAGAATGTCCAACCATGAAGGTTACTTGTTTCTTGTATGAAGGAACTACACACTACCCTGCCCAGTGTCATATTTATCCCAAGGTACAAGAAATTACCAAGCAGCAGAAGGAAGCAGTGAAAGAAGCCCTCGGGAAAAGGTTAAGAAAACCAGTGATGAAAGAATATGTTGACGACCCTGATGGAGAAAGCCTAAACAGATTTTACTCCAATGCTTGTTATTCATGTGGAGAAGAAGGACATTTTTCACAGTATTGCACGAAGGAAAGCCAAGAGTATATGGGAAACTTCCCGATGAAAGAAGTGGAGTTTGATCCACATGAGATAGAAGAATTGGTCGGAACAAAGAAGTCCAGGAAGAGAAAGTGCATGTGTCCCCAGAACAACCCAGTTTCTGCAGAAAAGGACCTGAGTCAAATCACTTGTTATAGGTGCAAGGATTTAGGTCATTATGCTAGCAAATGCCCAGCAAGGAAGCCAATAACCCAAGGAGCCAAGATAACCACCAGGAAGCCCCTGGATTTGTCTGAAGTCATTTGTTTACGCTGCAAAGGAAGTAGGACATTTTTCCAGGGAATGTTCAGACCCGAGGAAAGCTTGAGCTGAGTAGTTGAGATCTTGATATTGGAATAAAGCATGTAATAAAGTTGGAACACACTTTTATTTTCATTGGGGATGTTGAGTTGAGTTGTGAAATGGAAATTGTAATAGCTCATGAAGCAATAAAACTGGATGTGTTTGGAATCTCATATGAAATGTTATGAGTTGTTTGTTGATTGTGAGTGCCTCTCTCACTATGTCACCCAGAGTTAAACCTTGAACCCATGGACAAGCTGACCCCAAACCTTTCCCAGAAAAATAACCACATTTCACCAAAGGAAATACATACAATATCCTAAGTACCCCTTCTATCTTATACCTGTAGATGACAACCCTTTACGAGTCTTTTTTCAAGGGCCCGAAAACGATCATGACCCTGACTAGTGATCAGGATTACCCAAAAGTCCTGAAGGACACGATGAAGCATATTCATCTTGAAGGAGATGCAGCCTACAAGAGTTATCCTTTCATGGAGAATGGAGTTGAACTTTGGTACATGGAGGTACACCTCCTTCGTGTGAAGGGAGTTTGCCCAAAGACTATGGGGCAATACTTTTTCATTTCTCAAGTACCACGAGCAACATTCTTCGACTCTGTTCGTGAAGCTGCTATGGAAGCCATACGTCAGATTGGCGAAATACTTGAAGCCAGACTTCGTTATACTCAGGAATACCTTAGGGAGGTGCATGCAGAGATGATGGAGATAAAGCTCATGGCCACCATGATGAAGCAAAAGGTCGATGATTTCAAGGACCACATTGTACAATTCTAGTGGGACTAAAGCATCTTCAAGAAGGGCAAATGAAGAAAGATGGAAGTAATGCTTGACCATACCAAACTATGTGGATGGCAGCTTTTGTAATAAAGTACTTTTGAAATTTGAGCTTTGAGTAGTGGTTAAGGATATAATAAATGATTTGATATGAAGATAATATGAATTATGGATGAACCAGTGCATTTTTTGGCAATACTTGTTTGTGTGAACACTTGACCAATGGAAAAGAAAATGTATTCCATAGAGTGGAATTTGGACAAATGAGTTGGAGTTTGGTTTTAGTTATGATGGCTACCCCAAGAGTATGAAGGAATGAAGTGCTATTGGATTTAGAGGAGATGTAATGTTGGACTATGGAACAATAGTAACTCCAAGGATGAGTTCAAGATCTACAAGTTTGAAGTGGGCCATAACCCACGGGACCCAGGATTTGATAAGGAAACAAGCACAATCTTGTGAAGCAAAGAATTCTAGAAGAAGCTGTAAGTTCATCAGCAGACGTTCCATAGGAGGTTACGTAAACCCGAGAGTTGTGAAGAAACGATAGAGGTTTTGTTTGGCTTGCAGAACGAATGGATTTATCCGGACCCAGTTCATGGAGAAGAGAAGTTCTGCAATGCTTGTGAGGATGCCCAAGTGTTAGAATACGTGATTCACTATCTGCGTATGTGGTAATGATTCAAGTATGAGATGGATTGGCCCCCATATCGAAGACTTCTATCGTGAACTATCATATGTTGATGGAAAATGAGAGAGCCTTAAAACCCTAGAAGAGTGTCGACACGACAAACCAAAAGCCTTAGGATGGCAGGACGATGGAGACCCTGTACACACACCTGTTGCCAATCGTAGGTTATGCGGTGAGGTTCAACCCAGACCCATTTCCTGCGCGAGAAACCAAAAATTGTCGACCACCATGAGGTTTTCAATAGTTGTTTAGCATTGGCGCTAGACCTGTCAAGTCTCAGAAGGATCTTATTTTGATGCAAGGACTCGAGATTTTGAGGAAAAGGTTATGTCCTTACCGGGAGAGCACAAGTGAAGGAGTTATCTCGAAGAATATGAGAAGACCGACACTGTAAACGCAAAGGATGGAGTAAATGAGTTTTGTTGGAACTATGACCATGCTTCTAAGGGTGGTAGCATGTAACGCCCTCGATGCGGCTATATCTCCCACGTGTCGAAGCACGACTTAGAGGCATAACCGCATTGAAAGCAATGTCGCAAGTGAGGTAATCTTCACACAACCCATGTAATACATAAGGGGAAAAGATACATAGTTGGCTTACACTCGCCACTTCACACAATACATGAATAAAGCATTACATCATCCGGATACAATCAATGGTCCGACTACGGAACCAAAATAAAAGAAGACTACCCCAAATGCTACACAGATCCCCGATCAACCCAACTGGGCTCCACTACTGATCGACTAGAAACGGAACAACAAAACGAATAAGGTCTTCAACTAGCTCCTCCTTGAGCTTGGTTGCGTCACCTGCTCGTTAACATCGGCACCTGCAAACTGGTTTTGGAAGTATCTGTGAGTCACGGGGACTCAGCAATCTCACACCCTCGCTATCAAGACTATTTAAGCTTATAGGTAGGGTCAGAGGTATGAGGTGGAGCTGCAACAAGCGACTAGCATATTTGGTGACTAGCATATGCAAATGAGAGCGAGAAGAGAAGGCAAAAGCACGGTCGAGAAACTATGATCAAGAAGTGATCCTAGAACAACCTACGCCAAACATAACTCCAACACCGTGTTCGCTTCCCGGACTCTGCCGGAAAGAGACCATCACGGTTACACACGCGGTTCATGAATTTTAATTAAGTTAAGTTTCAGGGTTTCTACAACCAGACATTAACAAATTCCCATCTGCCCATAACCACAGGCACGACTTTCGAAAGTTCAAATCCCTATAGGGGTGTCCCAACTTAGCCCATCACAAGCTCTCACGGTCAATGAAGGATATTCCTTCTTCCAAGACAATCCGATCAGACTCGGCATCCCGGTTACAAGACATCCTCGACAATGGTAAAACAAGTCCAGCAAAGCCGCCCGATGTGCCGACAAATCCTGATAGGAGTCACACGTATCTCATTCTTAGGGCACACTGGATAGGTCAAGCTACGAGTCAAACCAACCCTCGAGTTGCCCCCGCAGGCTGCCCGTTTTGGACCAACACTTAGAGAAGCACTGGCCCAGGGGGGTTAAAATAAATATGACCCTTGAGTCTACATAACCCAAGGGAAGGTGGTAGGTTGTTAGTGCAAATGGTAAAACCAAGGTTGGGCCTTGCTGGAGGAGTTTTATTCAAAGCGAACTATCAAGGGATTCCCATTATAACCCAACCGTGTAAGGAACACAAAATCCAGGAACATAACATCAATATGACGGAAACTAGGGAGGCAAGAGTGGAACAAAACACCAGGCATAAGGCCGAGCCTTCCACCCTTTACCAAGTGTATAGATGCATTAATTAAATAAGAGATATTGTGATATCCCAACAAAATAACCATGTTGCAAGCATGGAACAAGCTCCAATCTTCACCTGCAACTAAAAATGCTATAAGAGGGGCTGAGCAAAGCGGTAACATAGCCAAACAATGGTTTGCTAGGACATGGTGGGTTAGAGGCTTGGCTGAACAATATGGGAGGCATGATAAGCAAGTGGTAGGTATCGTAGCATAGGCATAGCAAAAGAGTGAGCATCTAGCAAGCAAAGATAGAAGTGATTTCGATGGTATGGTCATCTTGCCTGAAATCCCGCAAGGAAGAAGAACGAGTCCATGAAGAAGACAAGCGGACGTAGTCGAACGAATCCTCACAACACGACGTTATCAGAACCAACCCGAAGAAGCAACACCGGAAAAGGAGCAAACAACATAGTAAATAACCATCACATAAACATGGCATATTGCACAAACAATTATGATGCATGTCCGGTTTAATGAAGCATGGCATGGCAAAGTGCACAAACAACCCTACAAATTAAGTGGAGGTCAATATGCAACTCCGTTGCATATTGATGAAACACCACGTGAGTTATTTAGTTCGATCTTGTTTATGTACCCAGCAATATTAAATGTTGTTAAACATGGCAAGAGGGTGAAGCAAAGTAAAACTACCTATCTAGTCAAGTTTAAATGAGGCCGGAAGCAACGAACAACAATTCCGGTAAATCCCCATATGCATATATTAGGTTTGGTACTATTCTGCCCTAAACCAAATTTTATAGTTGTTAAACATGAAAAGTGATGCCACCATGTTAAACTAGGCAAAATTCTACCCCATTTACATATAAAGTTTATTAGAAACCGAGCTACGGTTATTTAGTTATGATCTAAACGGTTTTAGCAAGTTATTTAAGCAAATTTAAACAAACAACATTTTAAAAAATTTAACATGGCAAGAAAGTAGCATATTATGAAACAAGATGAAAAACTAAGCATATTTCATATATAAATTGTTTTAATCTGATGCATGGTTAATTAGTTATTAAATGCATGAACTCTAGGGACTAAACTGCAAAACTGTTGACTCAGGATTAATACACAAATTTGCAGACGCTGGAAAAACATGATATGGGCCGAAAGACGAACTGGGCCAACAGCAGGAAATGAAGGTGGGGCGCTGGGGGTGAGCTCACATTGGGCCTAGGCCCAACTGGAGGAGGAGGCCGGGCAGCTGGGCCTCGCGCAGTGGTCAACAGGAGAAGGAGGACTCGGCGCTTGTCGTCATCCTCGCGTGCTCGCATGAAGAAGCAGGGAAACGGCGCGATGCAGAGGACGGCGAGGGAACTTGGGGCTCCGGGAAGACGACGGTGGGACGTCAGAAGCAGCAGAAGAGGTCGGGGATGAGTAATCCATGGCGGAGGCGGCGAGATCCGGCGGATCTGGGCGGCGACGAGGCCAGTCTCTGGCGAAGCAGAGGCGTGGGGACAAGGAGGGCATCGGCTTCAGCCGAAGCAGGGCGCGACGATGGCTATGACTGCTCGCCAAAGGAAGGGCGCGGGACTTGGCGCTAGAACTTGGAGGCGCGCTGGTCAACGTGAGGAACTAGACGAGGCGCTAGTCGTCGACGTCGAGCTCGACCCCGCCTGGATCGAGACGACGGTTTGCAGCAGGCGATGGTGATGTTCGTTCCCTGACAGAGAAGAAAAGAACGAGAAAGAGGTCGAGATGTGAGAGGAGGAGAAAAGCAAAACGGAGGAAGGGAGGGAGAGAAAGATGACGAGGGGTCCTGGTGGCTGCTGCTGCACGCCGGCAACGGTTGGCGCCTGGTGGTGGTCGGACGTGGCGGCGGGGCGGCCATGGGAGGAGCTTGGTGGCGCAGGTCCACGTGGGCACTCGAACAGGGCAGCGGACGACGGGAACGGGACCACGACTTTGCGGTGATGGGTGCGGTCAACAGGGAAGGAGGCTCTGGGACGGCACGGGGCGGCTCGGTGGTGGACTTCCGTGGCTGGCGGCGCCATGATTGGAGGAGGCAGCTGCAGGATGGCTTGGGCTCCTCTGGTCGCTGGTGGAATGAGTGGATCGGGAGGGATTGGTTTTGGTTGGCTGGTGTGTGAAATCGAGGAGGGGATGGATCCCGAGAGGGATTTGGTGGAGTGGCGGCGATGGGACAAACCCCCTAGAAATTAGGGTTGGCTTGATTTGGCAGGGGTTGGACTATATATATGGAAATAGGATTGTGGTTGGACCCTCCGATCATAATCGGACGATCGCGAATAATATAGCTAGGGAGTCCAAATAATAAAACGGTGATATTTTGTAGACGTTTGGGGATGATCCGGATCCAACGGTGACGACTGTCCGGGTCGGGTCTGGGACAGTTTCGGACACGCACGAGGGGTCGATGCACTGTGTAAAGAGGGGGTAGGCTGGGCCTAGTCTGTGTAGGAGAGATCTCAGGCTGAGAAGAGAGAGACGGAAATGCAGCCCAGCAAGGTTTCCGGAGACCTAAAACGTCCGACGTTAGACCGACTATATTGTCGCTATAGTTATCCGTTGGGGCGTCAAATGGACTCCGAACGCGATGAAATTTGACAGGCGGTCTACCTACACTAAAGTACGACCGCACGCCAACTTTCAACCCATTCCGAGAACATTTTCCGACCACTTATAAAATACTATTTCAGACATGCCGCGGGCGCGTGCAAGTGTGTCTGGGCTCAGAACGGACAACGGACTGAACAAGGAGACCGGGACGGATGCAGGTTTTGAAAACATGATGATGCAATGCACATGATGACATGATAAAATGCAACACGCAAGCGAATGACATGGCAACGACGGCGAATAACTGGAAGACACCTGGCGCATCGGTCTCGGGGCGTTACATAGCACCCCATACCTTCTGTGGATTAATGGATTTTCAAGGAGACCCCCCAAACCTAACCTTCTTTCTAGCCTCTCCGAATCTCGAGGACGAGATTCATTTTAAGGGTGGTAGTCTGTAGCATCCCAAAATTCTAAATTTTGGAATGTTGTATTAAATAAGTAATTCAGATTGTTTGTTTGATTGTTGTGTGATTGATTGTGTGAAAATGATTGGAAATTGAAAACTTTTTGAAAGTTGAATGAGAGGGAATAAAAGGACTTTCCTAAATCTTCTCATCTTGCATTCTGATCTCCCCGAGTTCAAATTCATTTCATTACGAAACCCTAGAGTGAAGATAATATGACTTCTTCCATTTAAAGAAATGAAAAGGGGTTCGGAAACAATTTGAATTTCCATTTGAAATATTTTAAATTTAGAAACTTTAAGCAACTCAATGAGTTCATGAGGGAAGATAAAATGACTTCTTCATATTTGAAGAAAGAGAGTTGGAAGTTTCAAAGAAATAAATTGGAAGTCACTTTGAAGTTATTTGAAACTCATTTTCCATTTGAAGTTGTTTGAAATTCCAAATTCAAATACATTTGGGAGTTATTTGAGTTTCTATTCAAAATATTTTTCTCCTAAAAATAAATAAATGGAAATAAGGGTAAAATGATTCCCTTCAATGGAAAATTAGGAGAAAACAAATTTGAAATCATTTTGCTATTTTAAAAATGATTTTTATTGATTTTAAATGCAACAATAGCACTGTTTGACTTTTATGATTTTTTTTTGGAATTTATTTGAACTTGGAAAATAGTTCATCTTATTCTTGGTATTTTTCTGAGCATTTTGATATATAATATGCCTATGTAAATTTTATTTATTTTCGTCTATTGTAATTTGTTTTCATTCTGTAAAAAAAAACAAAAAAAACACGTGCACCACCAGGAGCTAAACCTTGTTCGGCCCAGAGGCAAACGAGCCGGCCCGCTCCGTCTTTCGGCTCACGGCCTGCCCCGCGCCCGAGCGCCCTTCGTGCCGATCGACCACCCTCGCCTCTCGCTCGGTCGCCCCGCCCATACCCGCTGACTGGTGGGCCCCGCCTCCCAGCTCATCCCCAACCTCCCACAGCGCCGCACGGGACAAGCCGCGACCGCGCCCGCCCGCAACCGCCGGCGAAGCCCCGCGGATGAGGCTTATCCGCTGGTCCCCGACGCCCTGCCTGCGCCTATAAATGCCCCATGACCCCCTCTGTCGATCCCGCCGGCTCACACTTCCCCACGCCGCTCCTATCTGTCACCATCATTGAGTGCATCTCGCCGGAGCGGAGCTCCTCGCCGGACGAATTTGTTGCCGGTGAGCCCTTTCGATACCTATCTCCGTGCTCATTCGGACCCCCGTGCTCCTCCGCGTCTTTTTGACGTTTTCCTTGTCGCCTAGGTCGCCTGAAGAAGCCGCCCCGGCGACGCGTGCCCTCGCTGGAGCACCGGAGCCGCCGCTTCCCTCCGCCCCGTCCGGTGCACGCCGACGCCAGCCGTCACCACCATCCGGTCGCCCATGCTGCGCTGCATCTCTTTGTCCCCTCCGCTCTCACCGGAGCCCGCCGGAGTCGCCGCCCCATTCGACCCGAGCTGCTGCCACCGTCGTCGACATCGACGCCGGCAGCCGTCGACCCACGATGAGACGGCCTAGATTAGATCAGGTTAGTGTCTTTTTTTGTTGTTGAACCGGTACACGGTTAACCCCGGTTTTTATTTTAAAAACCACCGGCCGGTTTTTGTTAGTTAGCCGCGCGTTAGCGTTTTTATTAAATGCCTGCCATTCACCGTATAGCTTCTGCAGCGAACGTTGCCCAGTCACCCGCAAGAAGCCACGTGGCCGAGGACCTGCTCGCAATTTTTTTATTTTCTATTTAGTCCCTAGAAATTGCAGTTTAGCCCCTGGACTTCTGATAGCTGTATCTTTTCAACCGTAAGTCCAAATTAGATGAAACCAGTGGCAAAATGTTCATATCGGATAGATTTATCCAGAGAACCAACTTTGAAAACTTTTGGCCAATTTCAAATTTGAATTTATTCAAGTTTGAATTCAAACTTCAACTGGCCATATCTCCTAAACCGTAGCTCCGATGAAGTCGATTCTTTTTGCGTTTTGTCACCGTAGCCAAACCCTATCACCTGGACCATGATCACACTAATTTTCACACACTTAGGATCTGTCCATAGTAGTTTTACTCGTATGCCTTGTATGCACTATGCTTCACATCACAAATTCTGAACCCCATGCCTATGTTGTGTTGCACTTAGAATATTTTGTGATAGTTAAGTGAGTAGTATGTTCATTTGGTTTTTCCAAGACTTTTTACTTTGCATGTTCTTCTTGGTTCTCTAAAATGATTTCTTATGTGAGTGCGATGTTTGACTTTATAGATTTTCATCGGAGAGTGACAAATAGTTCTATTAAGTAAATTTCCGAGAGCGATATAATCTTCATCAACTATTACCAGGCAAGTTCACATTTGACCATTCTTCCAATTACCTATGTTTATATTATGCACTTAGTCCTTTTCTGGTAGGATTGCATGGTAGGATTTATTGTTGTTAAATGGCTATGTCGTTACCTAGTAGTTCATTTGAGGTAGGTCCGATCTATACATCCTTGTCACCGTCGTGTAAGTTTATTTTTGCCTTGCTAAATGTAGACGTGGTTTTGGAAGCGAACATGGTGAGACATGAGTGACAAAGTAGTAATCAGGACCAAGACTTGTAAATGAACTACCTGGGCGGTATTTGGTTTGAATTGTGGCGAAGTACAGTGGGTGCATGCATGGTTAATCCATGGTGGTGCACCACTACTGGTCGGCCGCCCAGGCTCAAAGAGATCAATTGTATTCTCATGTCTAGAAGCTTACGTGTGCAGCCACAAGCCAATATGGGCTCTGGCTTAGTTGAGTAGTTAGTGTGACCCCTTGCGGGATGGGCTAGCAGATGTAGAATGAGTAGGTGTACCGGCCTATCCGTGGGTTAAGGGGAAATACTTTCGAAAGACTATGTCTCGGTCATCCTGTTCTCAAACGCCAGGCAGTGTGAGAACTTCAAGGGAGCCGATCGAGTCTCGTGGGGAAAAGTGCGCAAACCTCTGCAGAGTGTTAAAACCTAATCGATTAGCCGTGTCCCAAGTTACGGACAACTTGAGCATCTAGTAGTGGAAATGCTGGGAGATCTCATCACTTTTAATTAAACAGTTGGGTTTTAAATGAAACTTTGGGAATGGATTGAGTTGGGTTTGCCAACTCATCCTATGCTATACAGTAGTGGTAGAATAATATCTTTTATTCTAGGGAAAAACTAGCTTTATACAAAAACTAAACTTAGAGCTTTCCACCAGCCAAATTGCATGTACAAATAGGTTCATTATTCTTATGATGTGACTTGCCAGTACATTCAATGTACTGACCTACAGGGCTGCAACGTCTTATGTTGCAGGAATTTCTACGACGAGTAAGAGTTATGTTGTAGGGTTACGGTCTACACTCAACTTGCCGTTGGTGTTGATGGGACTCCACACCCTTATGTTTGTTTCCGCTGAGACTTAAGAGGTATATATATGTCTTACGTTATTTATACATGTGATTGCACATTGATATATACATTGATGTACTATGTGTGCCAGCATACCGATCCAGGGATGGCACGGATA